AACTGGGTAAGTGAATACTCCTATCACATTCCGTACAACATCTATCAAAACCCAAATCTTAAAAAGATGAGAGACTAATGATTAAGGATATGATCTTTGGTATCCAAAAGTCTAGGGATTATATCTTATCTGTAGCACTTATGAGTGAGAGGACCTTGGGAAAGTGGTATCACTTTACTAGTCATAGATTTTTACCTATAAATTAGGGATATGCATATTTAATCCTCAGGGTTTTTGTGAAGTTTCAAAGAGATGATATGTTTTAAAAGTACTTTAACATGCTACTATACCGCGAATTCCTCAAAGTGGTAGGGCTTATTAGTGTTATCACATTATTTTGTGATCATCTATTTCTTTCTCTCACATCATTCAGAAAAGTTTTAACTCCTTGATAGTGAATGTGCTTCTCTTTCACAGTGGTATCCTGGCTTCTAGCTTACAGTGAGATATATGATAGAATCTCAGCAAGGGTTGATGAATGAAACTGGAAAAGAATGAATGATATGCAGATGGGAAAGAAGTTAGGAAGGAAGGAGGGAAACAAGGCAGGCAGGGAGGAGAAGTAAAAAAAGAAGGGCATTAAAGAAAGAATGACTTCATAAATGAATGAGAGAATGATGAACTAAAAAGTGGTTGTTCTTTATTCATGTGATCCATGCTGTTATATTTTTCTTGCCTGTATGTCCAACTTCCATCCAAAAGCTATTATTTTGAAAACCAAACATTCAAGATTCCAGGAATTTAATAAAGACCCAAGCCCGTTTTTCTGTATCTCCTTTTATAGAGAAGAAAAGTAGATTTAGGCATTTTTGATGATGAAACTAAGCAAGAGAATAAAGTCCAGATCATTAGGGCCCTTGGGATAAAGTACAAAATTCAGGCTTTAGAACTGGTCACAGCTTGGAGGAAGCTTGTTATTTGGAACAAGGATATGGATGCAATAAACATTCTGAGGTTTATCTTTCTTTAATGACTTGCCTTGAGTGGCTTTGATCTTTATATTTGATAATCATTTTCAAATGGTCTAGTGTGTTTTGAAAATGGAGTAGAGGTTTCTGGACTGGTGAGGCTCCTTGAAAATGACAAGTTGCAAACAGAACTTGGAAATGGGCAATGTTGCAGGGCTTCTTCTGTGAGCTGGAGAAACAGGGCCGCTCCTGAGAGGAAGACCAACACACTGATGGAGTGACAGAAATCAGGGTCCAGTGATGAGATGGAAACCCAGCAGGCACTGAAGGCTGAGGCTGTTTCCATCTACAAGCAACATTAAAAGGGAATTACACATCGTCTGTGAGCTGGTTATGTTTCTAGCCCTTTCCTGTTTATTACCACATTGAATTTTATATCTTTCTTTCTAGGTCAAATTTTATAATCCCCATTTTACGGATGAGGGAATTGAGATCCAGAGAGATTGAGTCATTTGTCTAAGATCACTTGGCAGAAAAGGGAGGGAGGATTTGAACTCAAGCCTGTATCTCCCTAAAAATGACATGCTTCTGCCATTCTGTTTACCCTTAATTAATCTTAGCCTAGAAGTAGACCAGTATTAGCCATTGCTCAGTTCAGAGAAACCCTCACAGTGTCAGTGCTGCAGCACATGACCAGCACCATCTCTGTGTCCAGCCTGCACCCATCGAAAGGCCAGAGAGCAGGCCCCTGGCATGACATTCTCACCTCTGCAATGGAAAATTCAGCTGAAAGGCGACCTGCTTTGAACAGCAATTGAAATTGAGGCTAATGAAGCTTGACCTGGGCTGACTGTGAGCATGCCTCTGACCAACCTTCTTTACAATGAGCATGCCAGTGTGCTATGCTTCTAGGCTTGGAAAAGCTCAGGCCTTCCCGCACTTTTTCCCATGATTTCATTTAAGGGATTTGTTGTTGTTTTGCATTTTGAATGTGGTTCCCTTTTACTTCTCTTTCAATAAAACAGGCCCTGACAGCCCTCTCATTCAGATTATTACAGAGTTGTACCATCTCAGGCCAGTGCATTTAGGAAATATGTTGTTGGCACTCACCAGCGAGTGAGATGCATAAAGAAAATATTCTAATGACAGTTGAGTTGAGAGAGCTTTGATCTCCCTCCAGAACTGCACTCATGGCTTTGAAATGCAGTTCTGGCAAAGGGGTAAAGTCTAGGCGCCTTGGCAATCAGGGCTGGGCCCCCTGAAACAGACATTCCAGGGGACCCGCAACCTCCACTGTGGAATCCAGGTGCATGAGTTCTACAGGGAGAAAAGAGACACTGCAACACCAGTCTTAAGGGGCAGCTTTGGGAAGAAGATTTAAATTAGAAGGGACATTCCAATATATATCAGATTTTCCTAGATGTGCTGGTTGTGCTGTTATTTGTTTGTTGGCAAAGACGGTGGGCAGGGTGGGGTGCCAGTTATGGTCAAATGTGTTTGGGAACACTTTAGGTACTTTTGGCCTTCTATGAATTTTGTATATTTAAGGCTCTGAAAACTCTTGCATTAAAAATATGTGGATTTAATCTTGTTAAACAGAGTATATCCTGAATCCATTGACTCAAAAACTCTTCTTTAAATGCATATATGCCTTTTGTATATTTAGCTTTCATGTCCACAGTCAACTGGACAACCCTGATCTGGTTCACCAGTACATCGAGCAGATGTGGATCCTGAGCTGCAGAACAAGTGCCAGCAGTCAGGGAGAAAAGGCCAGATGAGGGTCTGAGCAGGAGTGTGCAGCTGAGGACCACAGTAGGGGCTGTCACAAGCTCCTGCGATTGGCTCCTGCCATTGTCAGGGAATGCTAAGAATATATAGGTAACAGAGGAGAGCTTAGAGGTTTAATGCCAGGCCCTTTCATTCCCCTTATTTAATCTGTGGCCTTGAGCCCCATATTTGCTCCCGCCATTTTGAAATTATGCAGTTTGCAAGAGAGATGTTCAATAGCTGCCAGTCCTCAGTAGCCCTTTTTTCTCTTTAAGGAAGATTTCAAGGGACACAGATGATAATGATTTGGTCTCAATTTCTTGAAGCCCATCCCCTAAAGGAGAGCACAAGTGCTCACACTCTAAATAAAACTTAAAGCAGGGCAAATAATGCTGCAATTCAAAGCAGGGGCCCAGAGAAAGGAGAACTCATTTTTGACTAATAGTCATGAAGATGGTGGAGTCATTAATTATGACCAGTTGTATTAGCAACAGTACAATAAAGTAACCTACTCTGATAAGAGGGCCTTTCTTGTACCAGTCTTGGCACTAGGCACATGGTTTGCATTGCCACTAATCTTCTTAACATCCCTGAGAGGTGATTGCTCTCATCCCAGCTTTAAAGATGAAGGTGATCAGGAAAGGAAACATGAAATACATCATCTTTAAGCTAAATTTTGCAAGCAAGGAAGCTGTTTGTTTGTTTGTTTGCTTTTGAGGCAGGATCTTATGGAGCCCAGGATGACTTCAAACTTGTGATCCGCTGACTTATACCTCCTGAGCTCTGGAATTAGAGGCATTCACCAGTACTCCTGGCACAAGTGGGAAAGCTTCAAATGGTTAAAACTCAAGAAAAGGGACTGTGAGACAGAAAAGGAACACTAGCAGTTGTGGATGGGGGTAAAGGAGGAGGGTTCTTGGGATAAAGAAAGTAGCTAAGGTTTTGGAACAAGGAAGAAAGTTGGATGCTTAGGAAGAGGGGAAAGAAATGTTGAAAACCAGGAAAGGGAGAACCCTGTGGAGGGAGATTGCCAGGTCTAGTTCCTTCCCAAGAGCAGGAAACAGGATGTTAGGACATGGAGAGGACCTGACATCTCCTGGAGGTGTGTTTTTCTGGGCTGAGATGTCTCATTTAATCCTGCTGACAGACCCATGAGCTAAACAACTTACCGATGGTTATGGGGTTGTCTGTCCATCTCTGACTAGGACTGGACATGAAATATTAAAAGCACACTGTTTTGAATGCAGGTTGATTTTCCTGGAGTGTGACCAATTTTCAATACATACAGGACCGGCCTTCCTACAGTTGCAGAATGGAAAATGGAGGGGCCCTACGCAAATCATTTCTTTTCCACATCATCAATATGACTAATTCTATTGTTTCTTCTAAATTTGGCCTCTTGTGCTTTCTCCTGCCGTTGGCAAAAGGGAGAACACCTTCTTTAAGGAATAAAGGAAGGGAGATGAATACCCATTCATGTTCCTGACCTCTTAGTCTCCCCTGCCCCTGGTTGGTTTGAGAGATACCCAAATCAGTAGGATGCCTTCAGCCAGCAGAAGGAAAACTCTTAGTCACAGAGGCATTTTTCTTTTGGGTGGGTTCCCAAGAGAGATGGGGAGGAGAAAGGCCAGTGGGGCCAGTGTCCTGGCTACCTGCCACCAATTCTTCCTCCTTTGAGAAACAGAGACTTCCCAAAGTATGAGAAAATCCCATATGCAAGCCAGGGAGAGTCTCCAACATCCCACATTTCTGCTTTGGGCTAGGATGAATCTCATCCCTTGAAAAGATTGGCATTGCAATTATCACTGAATAAACAACCAATTAAAATGGCTCCCCTGCCCCTGCCCCACCCTGGGCCCTTCTCTCATGAAGCCTTCTCGTCCCAAAGCACTGGGGCAGAGGTGGCTTTCTCTAATAACATTTGTGTTCTCTGCTGAGACAACATTTGATGGAAGTGGACAAATCAATTAGGGGAAAAAAATGTGTGAAGGGCTGATCCAAGAAAATCTTGGCTCCTTTTTGTTTTCATTCTCCTCCCACGGGTTATTTCCCTTTCCACCAAGGGCCTGGGCAAGCTCGGAAGTGAGGTGCAGGAGAGAGTCAAGGACATCTAGAGTCACACTTGGCCTTGTCTCTCTGTGTTCTCGGTACCCCAGTCTCTTCATCTGCAAGGTGGGGGTAGACAATAGGTATAGAGAAATGTGTACTGATGGTCTGCATGTTAGGTATTATTTTAAGCTCCTTACATTTTGCTTATTAGCTGCCTTGATCCCCTGAACAACTCTATGGATTAAGTACTATTATCGTCCTCCTTCTATCTAGAGTGAAACTGGAGCACAGGAACCTAAGTCATTTACTCAGTGTGGCCCACACATCAAGCAGGAAGGCTGGAATCAGGTATGGGTCTCTAGCTTGAGAACGAGTCATTTCTACACCAAAGATAAGACATCTCAAATATTAGAGATGAGATAATATGTATACAGGATGTGATCATAAAATTCGGTGAATTATGAAGGTTTTTTTTTTTTTTTAAAAATATTTATTACAGTAAAAGACACATTGTCATTAATCCACCTCATGATAGGCCCTCTCACTTTGAACTTATCTATTCAATCATCAAGAAGGGTGAGATGTGTGCTTGAAGCAAGGGGGATTATTTAAGGTGAATTAATGACAATGTGGCTTCCTTTTACCGTAATAATGTTTGAAAGTTAAACATGCACTATATTTTTTGATCAGATGGACCTACTACAGAGACTGATATACGGAAAGTGCTTCATAAATGGTGGTGGTTTTTCCACCCTTCCTTCTCTCACTACAGCACACATGGGTTAGAACTCCCCCTGAGCCCTCCAGCCTAAGAAGCTAAATGCGGGGACTTGGTGGAGGCGACTCAGCAGAAAGATTTCTGATTGATATTGGGCTAGTGTGGCTATCAGTGGAGTTAGCCAGTTCAAGCTGCACCTTTATTTCCAACCCATGTTAAGTTTTTCACTGATAAACTATAAAAATTATGGCCACATGAATGTTTGGTTTCATGAGTGTGGTACTGTCTATGACATGAGTGGTCAAAAGAATACCCCAGGTATCATGTTTTGTTATTTGTTTGTTTGTTTGTTTTGAGACAGGGTCTCACTATATAGTGCAGGCTGGCCTTGAGCTTTCTTATGTAGCTCAGGCTGGCCTCGAGCTCATAGAAATCCTCTTGCCTCAGCTTCCAGGGTGCTTGAATTCCAGGTATATGCCACCATGCCCGGCTATGTTTCTTGTTTATATCAGTGTAGAGGTGCAGGTTTGACTCACAGAAATGCCCTGTACAGCAACAGACAGTGGTTACTAGTCTTAATGTGCTGATAAAGAAACCAAAGCCTCAAAATCAGATATTGCTGAAGTTAAGACTGGAATTTAAATGGCTTAGCTCTCAGTTTTCCTCATTTAAGTTTAATTTCATCAACATTTATTGGGTGCAAGGCTGGGGATTTAGCTCAGCAGCACAGTGCCTGCCTGGCAAGCGCAAGGTCATGAGTTTGATTCCCAGTACCAGAAAACAAACAAACAGCAACAAAAAAACATTAATTGGGTTCTTGCCAGATATCAAGCACTATACTGAGAACTGGGTATCCAGAGAGAAATAAGGTGGCTTCCTTGCTTCCAGGTATCCATAGAAGAATGTAATTTCAGGACTCTGTGAGACTGAGGCAGTTCCAGAAGTAACAGAAAGAGCTGAGGCTAAGGGAGGCAGGGTCTTGCAGGTCATGCTGGGGAAGTTGAACTTCATTCTTCCTCAGGCCCTTCTAGTACTCTGAGAGGGAAAGAAAAGCAAACCATCGTTAATGTATGCTACTGGGCAGGCTCCATGAGACCTGCAGGGAGAGATGGAGTTATGAAAAAGGAGAATGCCACCAACTAGTTGCATGTCCTTAGCAAATTTTGACAGTCCCCTGAGCATCTGTGCCCTCTAAAAAGTGGAGAGCCATACTATCTGCATCCTGGTTATTAAAAAGACTAAAAAATAATCCATGTAAAATTGGAACACATGGAAAGGTCCAACAAAACCATGAGATATCATTATCCATTGATTTGTCTACTTCCAAAGCTGCTTGCTTGCAGATTTTATTCTTTAATTCATGGACTCATTGCCAACCTTACTAAAAAATAATTGTCAGATATTAACATGGTGTCCTGATGCATGATAGCAGACAGAATGGGTGTGTGTGTGAAAGAAACATGGGAGAGCTAGAATTTTCTATTTAGAAAGTGAGCTGTAGAGAAATATGGCCACAACACATCCAAAGAGTGAGGCACTCATACAGTGCTTCTATTCTGATCAAAGGGCCATATTTCCCTTCCCTTTTAGGCACCTAAGATATGCCAATCTCTTTACAAAGCACCCTCCAGCAAATTTATGGCATGTGGAATTAATTGATTTATTTATAAGATGTCATTCTATGACAGCAACCTCCAAATACAATATCATTCTGAAGTCCATTTTACAAATAAGGAAATAGAGCTTTACCACGTGCAAAATCATTTATGAGTGGCAGCAGGATGCCTCAATGAAAAGAGAAGAGGTTTTCTGGCTAGCAAGTATTAATCGTTTATTTAGAGAGAGAAAAAAGATTAAAAAATAACAACAACAAAGACAAAAGCAAAATAACACAAAAGCAAAAAAATGATACAGAATTCATAACAAGATGATACGGATTAACAATGGTTGTTATATTACATGTTGTTATCACCAACGAAGCTGCTCAGATTACCAGATGTAAAAATGCAAGATTGATCAAAAAATTAAAGATAATGAAAAGTAATTTTAAAAATATAAGAAATGATACAGAGCTTCGCTAAACAAAATGATAGGAATTCAACAGTGGTTGTTATATTGCATATTGTTGTCTTCAAATTAGTTGTTCAGATTACCAGATATAAGCATACAAAATTTGTCAGAAAAACTTGTGTGAGTGTGGACTGGTGAAACCACTGTGGAAATCAGTGTGGGGAGTCCTCACAAAACTAGGATTAAAGGTCCCACTCAACCCAGCTAGTATTAATCTTGAATCCCATTTCTGCAGCTTTGGGTAACCTACTGAAGGAATAAGGTCAATGTTGCTCATTTTGGAAATAGAATATTATTCTCACCTTGAAGGTGAATGTAGGTATTTGAAGCATACCTTCTATTCACCTTTAAGGTGAATGTAGATATTTGAAGCATATCTCCATGCTAAGACTAGACTACACGTTATCTCATCCCTAGTTTGTGATCATAATCTGTACTATTATTTGGTCCTGTTCTCAGTCAATATAGCAGTCTTTAGGGGCAGAAATGTTGACTATAGATAAATCTAGATTCAAAAGTGAACCCTGATGTTTTTAAGCCAAGCAATGTTGGCAAGCCTCTTAAGCTCACAAGGTTTTACTTCTTTCTTAACTCTAAAATGGGGTCATCTTATAATGTTATTGGAAATACTCCATGAAGTGGTGTTTATAAAGAGTTTAGTAAAGTGTTTGGCACGTAATAGCTCTTAATTATTTGGGGAGTAGCTGTAATTTGAAGAGTACCTTTTATGAAAGGTGATAACAGCCAAGGTTATTTTTTTCTGTTGCAGAGCCTACTTGGATGTTAATGAGCTTAAGAATATTCTTAGATTGGATGGATCGACACACCTCAATATATTCTTTGCAAACTCCTCAGAAGAAGAGTTGGCAGGAGTAGCAACCTGGCCATGGGACAAGGAAGCCCTAATGCACTTAGGTGAGTCTTAGAAACTTCTACAAGCAGGATATCCAGTGAGACAGTGATAAATTTAATACTGAGGATGATCATCTCCAGGATCCAGAGGTGCAAATTGCAATGGTGATGATGAAAAACCTACTTATTTATTTAATTTACAAAGCTTGTTAGCATTCCTTATCTCATTGTGACTGCCAAGAAATGCTCTGAAGAAAGCAGCACGGCACCATTAGCCATGTTCTGTTAAGAGGAAAATTCAAACCCAGAGAAGTAAGAGGGTTTTGCCATGATCATACCAAAGACAGTGACAGAACCACAACTAAAATCCAGGTTCCTGACTCTGCATATTGATAGCTTTCTCTTTACACCTTCTCCCTCACAGTTTCTGCAAATATCCCAGCCATGACCACCTAGGACTAGGACATCAAACCTTGGGCTGGCCTGAAAGACACCACAAAGGCAAGAGAAAGGGATCTATAAGAACTCATTGTTCTTCCATGATTTACCTACCAAGACCATCAGGAGCTCTTTGCATATTTAAATTATGCATATCTATACATAAGACATAAGCTTATGCAAACCAGTCACCAATAGTCAAAAAATAACAATGGCTCTGATTCAGGAACTGTAAGCCAACATACTAGTTCTATCACTTTCTATTCTCTGTGCTCTTCTCTCTCTCTCTCTCTCTGCATATTTTTACCTGTGCATGTCTGAACTCATAGACTATATATAATTGTGTGTTCTTTTTCACTTGCTATTTTGCTCTCTGCATTTTTCCATGTTTTCCCATGTTACATTGTTCCTGCCCAATATTCTGCCCTGAAAGTCACAAAAGAAAAGTACCCTCTGGATTATTTTACACCTCTCTAAAGATGGGAATTTAATAGTCACATAGCTGGGGATATAGCTCAGTGATATAAGTGCCTGCCTAGCAAGTGCAAAGTCTTGAGTTCAATTCCTGGTAAAAAAAAAAAAAAAAAAAAAAAAAATTGATGAATAGTCACAGACTATTACACAGAAGAAGGGATCTATAATTGATTTAATTAACCACTTTCCCTTTGGTAGAATACTCACATTTATAACAATGAAAACTGTGAACATCTTTATCAGAGAGAAAGTTAGGGCTCAGCAGAGTAAAGGTCTTGGATGTATACTTGGGTCCCTCTGATGCCTTCTACCACAAACCCATAGTCCAGGAGCTGTTCTAAATTTATATCTTGGAGACAAGACTCTGCAGCTTCAAATGAAAAAGTTGTACTGATTCATGCCATACACTTAACCCCTTCCAGTCTACTCATATTTCTCAAATTTTTAAGGAAATGCAGTGTGTGTGTGTGTGTGTGTGTGTGTGTGTGTGTTGTAAATAGAGAAAAATGCAAAGATAAACATCTGGTTGTTACCAGCTGGAGGAATTTTGTCTGCTAGGAGACATTTGGCAATGTCTAGAGACATTTATGGAAGTTGTAAGTGGGGCCATGCAACTGTCATCTGTAGGGTAGAAGATAGCAGTGCTTCTAAATGTCCTACAATATCCACAGCAAAGAACTACACTGTTAAAAATGTCAGTGATGCTAGGATTGAGAAACCTTGAGCTAGGTGATGGGAAGGCTGTTAACAGACACATGTGGACAGGGGCAGGACATAAGAGAATGTACAATTCAGGTAAAGTTAATGGTGATCAGCTTATATCACATACCTACTGTGATGTTTGGGGATCATACTAGACCAAAGCAAAAACAAACAAGTGTTCTCTGCTATGACTTAACAATATTGGCTTTATTAAATCCCTTTCTTTCCTACAATCACAGTTTCCTAAGATTTTAAATAGAGAGTTTAGAATGGATGGCACCAGAAGACTCTTCTCAGCTCTGAAATTCTGTGCTATTAGAAAAGATACCAGAAAGTCCATGGTCAGCGTCTGGGAAGGTCTGAACAGCGGACTTCTAAAGTTAGAGAAAAATAGCCCTGATAATTCCATGAATGCTGGAGACTGGCTGAGAGCCAGGAATATGGGAGGCTATAAATCCATAGCATGTTATAGTATTTCAGGATGATGTCAGGCTCAAGCTATTTCACCTTTTAAGAGAAGCAATGAAACAGGACTTGGGCACAGCGCTGTCGCTCTGTGGGAAAGGATACTGAGGTAGAACAAACAGAGCCAGCCTGGACATTACATCTGCTGTCTTATCTTCATCCCCAAGACTGTCCTGTCCTCTTGTTACCTTAATATGCAAGTTTCATAGAAAGACAGAGAACCATTAACACTATAGCTGCTTAGTTTAAAGATCACAAAAGATGCAAAGTCAGTTTTTCAATATCATAAGGTCTTTATGAAGAAAAACAAGTATTGCAGCACATGTCAGGCCAGCTCCAGCCACCTCTCTCTCCTGAAGAATGTTGATCATAAGCTGTTCTTGTGCAGTAGCCCTAATCAAACTCAATATATGAAAACCATATTTTTTTTTTTTTTTGCCTTCTTTTCCTGCTGTTACACCATGATCCTTGGAAAAAGCTTTGGGTTGGAAGGGGATTATGTTTCCTATTATGATTGACAGAAAATAATTGAGAAAGATTTCCTGTATCTGTTTCTCTTCCTCCCTGCCTCTGCCTGCCCCTTCTCACACCCTCACGCACATGCGCACACTTACCCACACACCTTTTCATGAATCTCTGTTAGAAGTCTCCTAGCAATTCGGAATTAAAACTCTGTGAGCTCCACGACTGAGCAAATTTGCTACCCCAGCAGTTCAGTCCAAGACAAAATTCCTTCATTCCTATCCTGGGTTTTTTGGTCCAAATCAACAAGCCCTTGTCTCCTCATCATTTTTTCATAAGATGCTGCTCTGCAGCTAAATTTTGACTTGTGATATTCTCAGACCTGAATCCTAACCTTCTCTTAAATGTACATGAAACCAAAACTATTCCTTGATTCTGCTGAGTTCTGCTCCACCTAAACTTTGAGCTGAGCAAAGCTCCATCTTCCAGGATATTCTGTATAGACCACTCCTTCTTGATGAGAGTGCACAAACAAGGGATTTGGGACTCTTGTTAAATGTAGACTGTGATGTTGTGGATCTGGAATAGTGCTTGAGAGTCTGCCTTTCTACCAAGTCCCCAGGTCATCTTTATGCACTTGCTTTTTTGTGAGTAGACAAGAAGTTGCAGACATGATATATGTCAGGTGCTATTTTAGTTGCTCACAAACGATTGCTCATACCTCCCACTACTCTTTACAGCAAATCTTCCACACACATTTAATGAGATACTATATTTCAGGCCCCATGACAGGCATTAGCAACAGAACACTGTTTAAGAATCCTAGCTTTGGACCATTGTTGAATTCTTACCATCTTGTTTGATGAAGCTCTGTGTCATTACTAATTTTTTTTATTACTTGTCACTGTCTTTAATTGTTTGACCAATCTTGCGTTCTTACTCTGGTAATCTGAGCGACGTTGTTGAAGATAACTATATGTAATACAACAACCATGGTTAAGTCCTATCATCCTGTTTTGAAATCCTGTATCATTTTTATTGTTTTTGTGTTGTTTTGTTTTTATCTTCATTGTTGTTATTTTGTTATTGATTTTTTTCTCTTTAAAATAAACAAGAAAGGGTGCTGGCTTTGGTACTCGAGAATCTTGAGTTCAGATTGCACCTCTGCTCTCACTTGTGATGGTGGGCCAGTTGCTTCATCTCTCTGTGAATCTCTGATTCCTGGAACCCCTACTCCTCTTGTTGAATTTTGAGATGACTAAATGTGATTCTATGCATGAAAGGCTCAGTGGAGCAGCTGAGCATTGGGGTGGGCGAGTAGTGTTACAATGGTGAGCACAACCTGACACTGTCCTTCATGAGTGTTCTCCCCTTTAGAACACTGGAAAGGAAGAAGTGGGATTCTGAGGTGACAGTTAACTTGCGCAATGTCACACAGTTAGCAAAGGCAAAACAAGAATGGCACCAAGGTTTCTGAGCCCTAGGGAGGGTTTTTTTAGGGTAAGAGCATGTGGAACATTTATGAATCAAGGGATGCCTCACTTTCTAAGAAAACATTTTCAGCAAAAAGGCTTGTCAACCTGGAAATCAGAATCCTTGAGTTCTAATCATGCCTCTCCTTTTAAATACTTTGCAATTATATAGGTAATTTGCTTCTCCTCTTCAGGCAGAGCAGTTTTCATCTGAAAAATAAAAAGTGACTGCATAAAATGACTTTTGAGACTCCTTTCTTCCTACTCTGATAGCCAGGGATTCATGTCGCAGGTTGTAACAGTACACAGGGCAGTGGAGTCAACAGTAAAGGAGCCTGTTGCTATTTTGGGCATCATCCCTTTATCCTTGATTCTTTGTTTAAATTTTATTTTAAAGAAAATACTACAAAAAAAGGAACAATAGCAAAATGCAAGTAAAACAAAGCAAGGACATTAACAATGATACAGGGTTTCAAACCAAATGATAAGGATTAACAGTGGTTGTTATATTACATACTGTTATCTTCAACAAGTTGCTCAGATTACCAGATGTTAAATGGAAGATTGATCAAACCATTAAAGAGAATAAGAAAATAATAATCAAGAAGCAGAGTGCCCAATTTGGCTAACACACTGCTTTTCCCTCTGCAGGTGGGATTGTCTTGAACCCATCTTTCTATGGCACTTATGGGCACACTCACACCATGATTCATGAGATTGGGCACAGTCTGGGGCTCTACCACATCTTCCGAGGCATCTCAGAAATCCAGTCCTGCAGTGACCCCTGCATGGAGACCGAGCCCTCCTTTGAGACCGGAGATCTCTGCAATGACACCAACCCAGCTCCTAAACACAAGTTTTGCGGCGATCCAGGACCAGGGAATGACACCTGTGGCTTTCATAGCTTCTTCAACACTCCCTACAACAACTTCATGAGCTATGCAGGTAGGGCCCTGTGCTATGGTTGGCATTAGTCGGTCCTACATAAGACTGGATGTCAGACATTGGCTTCAGTCTCGACTCGGGGTAACCTTGAACAAGCTGCTTTCCTTTAAAGACTAAATGAGTTCCTACCCTCAAGAAACATAATAAAGCCCCTTCCAAGAGTATCTGAAGGCTATAAGGAAGATGTTGCATCTCAAAGCTGCTCAGAGTCACTTTAGGTAGAAAGCTGAGACCCAAAACCAGGAAACCAAGGTAGAAGGCCCAATGATACCAAATACCTGTGGGTCATCCTTCCTCTGGGCCTCACTTTTCTCAAGAAAATAAAATATTTGAATTTGATCTCAAAGATCCTTGCTAATTTTGCAGCTGTATTTTTCTAAGCTGTTGAATTGTGGAACCTTTTCTCTTTAATCCAGGTTTCCCTTATATAAACATAAAACGCTCACACCCGTTTTTACTGGTTTTTGCAAAGGAAAGAGAAGAGAGGCTTTGGGTTTTACAAATACAAGATTATTATCTGAGATCAGGAATTTTTTTTCCAAGTATATTTTATCATAGCCCATTTACAGACCATCAGGGACAGTGTTAAGGACTCATACTGTAGGTTCTAGGATGCTTTGTTCTCCCTTTAGCACATGGTGCAGCAAGGCCACTTTGAGCCCTCTTAGCACCTTTGTCAAGTAAGAACAAGACACTCCTTCCTCAGGGCAGCCTCAACTTTCACCACTGGCTCTTCCATTCAAGTGTCCTTGTAAAATCCTCACAATGGCACATGTGGAGAGCACTGAATCCATCTCTTTCTCCACTTGAACAAATAAATGCTGTGAAAGGAGAGATTGTATCTAATACAATCCTTATTCTCAGACCTAACACAGGGTCTTAATAAATGTTTGGTAGTTCATGAGGAAGAAAGGAGAGGAAGGAAAGAGGGAAGGGGGAAGTAAAGGACAAAAATATGTAAATTCTTATAATAGGTATATATAAAATTGATTCTCAGTGGTAGAGTGCTTACCTAGCATGTGTGATACCCTGGTCTTGGTCCCTAACAGAGAAGGGAGGAAGAGAGGAAGAAAGTGAAAAACAAAACAAAACAAATAACCCAACAAACCAGATCTCTAACATCGGTATTTCTCACAGGACCGGTATTCATTGTGTTTCTCTTGAGCAACCAATTTGTCTTTGTTTTATTTTGTGATAAATCAAACTATAAATTCTGTTTTCCTCTTTTCTCAGCTACCAAGATGCTCAAAATAAAAGTCTTGCTTAACTCCAAAAAAACCAAACTTTCCATCTATATTAGAATTCATTGTATAGAACAGATTTTCATATTCTACCAATTGTTTCATTCTCACTACAGATCTGTGGGGTAGGAACTATCCCCAATTTACAGACAGCAATGTTAAAGATTATAGTAGTCATTTGCCCCAGGGGATGTGAGGAAATTGAGCAACCCGGGTGGTTTTCACACACTGTATTCCACAAAGCTTGGACGGGGGTCCCATGGGAAGGCTATGGGCCTGGAGGCCCCCTTCCTACCATTCTGCATTTCTATTGGAGTATATTCGTTGCTTTTGAAGTGATTTGTTGCTGAACCCCAAAGGATTTGATGGTCCCACTGTTTCATCATGCTTTCCCATTTAGGTGGATGACATCAGGGGCCTCTCCAGTGTAAGATACAAACAGTCTAGATCTGACATCTCTTGAAGTCAGTGACTCACTCCCAGTACCATAAAGAGTCTTTCAAAAAGACCAGGTTTCTTGATATTTCCTCAAAAGCAGATTCCCACTGGGCTCCCACTCCTGACCCCACAGACACTTCACATCTGGTGCCCTGTCCCCTCACACAGCCATGCTTACGTTCCATTTCTGTAGCACCTTTCCTTGGCCAGCTCAACACACATGGAAAATAAACAATAACATGAGTTTGGAAGTTTGCCTGCCTCTAAGGGGCCTACAAACTGCCACTAGCTACCAGACCTCCATAAACTAAATCTCTTTTTTTTTGGTTGTTGTTCCTTTTTGTACAGATCTAAAGGGTGATTGATTTACTGATGTTTTTCTAAAGGAACCCCTCAGCTCAGTGACCCATTAACAGCAGAGCTAATTCACTGAGCTACGATAACAAACTTACACCCACAAAAGCATATTGGAGTCGACTCTGAGCTTTGAAATGTTTGTTTTCCTTAGGATCTCTGATAGATGAGGTGACAAAAGCAGCTGGAGGAAATTCAAAATGCAAAACGGGATTGGGTTCTCAGGGCTGAAGAAAGCAGTGCACCCCGCTCCCTCCTTCAAGAGGAAAGGGCAGAGACACTGTGGAGTCAACTTCTTCCATTGCTTTTCCTTCCTGGGTGCTATTTCCTCATACCTGGTCACTAGCAGCCCTGTCCAACAGGACACCTTTCTACAAAGGTGACCACAGTTTATGTCTGTGCTTCCAGATATGGTGGCCGCTAGCCATATATTGCAGTCAAGCACTTGAAATAAAACTAGTGCTACTGCAGACCTGTTACTTTTATTAATTTCAACTGAACAAGCCACAGAACAAGTGGCTACTATATTGGTTTTGTAGGCCTACAAAAATCCTCAGGTACATCTGGTATACTAGACACTGTGTGTGTTAAATCCTCAAGATAACCCAAAGAGGGTTGTTAAGTGCTATTATTATCGTACCCATTTTCTAGATGCAGGAAAAGTGGTTCAAGTAGCTTCAGTAGCTTATCCAGGGTCAGACATATAAACTAAAGCAAAAGTTCAACTTTACTCCTCAAGTCTTTCTTACTGCCCAATCTCTGTGCTTCGATAAAGCAGGCAACCGCAGGTGATAGGGCAAGCCCAGTTCAGCAGAAAACACCAGTGGAGCTTGTGTTGAGCTGTGAGATAAGACCTTGGCAGACAAATGGTCAGCCATGTTGACTACTTCCTGAAGAAAACAGGGCATACATCCATGGTACTCCAAAAGTTAAGGCCTCCTCAAAAATGCAGAATCAAAAACAAAGGCAAAAACAGAAGAAATCAGGCTTCCTCCAGCCCATAGGCTATGTTGCCATTTTTCTGTGTGCCAGAGCGTTTTAATATGCACACATGCTTTGACCCAGGAATCCCTTCTCTAAGAAGCATATCTAAAGCAAATAAATCAACCAATGTGTGTAAAGATTGAGCTATAAGCATGCTCTTAGCAATGTTCCTTCCCCAAATATTTATTAGGCATTTACTGTATGACAGATAAGGAAAAATAATGTTTTATATGTGAAAAATATTAGAAATATCTTACAAGCCCAAAAATAATGGACTGTTGAAATAAACCACAAGACATCCATATGCTAGAACATCGTGTAGCCAGTAGAGATGACACAGAGATGGTTAACGGAGATAACTAGAAAAGCACAGTACCATAGTGATTCAGAGTACAGTGGTTGGGGTGAGGAGACAGAACTTGAATTATCTATGCCCCAGAACTTGACCCTAAGCAAATTACTTCCTTTTTTGGAGTCTCAGTTACTTCCTTAGTATCATGAAGGATAATTACATTTACCTTGTATGATAGGAGATATAATCATAGGAATAAGGCACTTAGCGATGTTCTTGCTATCAATCAGTCCTTGATAAATGATAATTCATAGGATTATTTGACTACTGAATGTGAAAGAGAAATAGTCATATGTATAATGTAAGACACACACATATGTTTATCATACAGAATCACTGTAGATATTCATATATACACACTCATACACACATATGATATTAATTATATTATTTTCAGGTAAGGAATTCAAGGTGATAATCATTTCCTTGTGACACTTTCACACATTCCAGTCTACAAAAGCATATATAAAATCATAATTATTTATTATTAGGCCTACTAATATTATTTTTTTATTTTAAAAATAAAAGGAGGAAAACATTAACAGACAGACAACCTTTTACAAAATAACAAAAGAACAGTACAGACAATAAAGACTTACAAACAAAGTGGTAGGAAATGAACAATGCTTGTTGTATTACATATTGATATCTTCAAAGTGCTTTCTCAGGAAAACAAATAGAGACATGTAATATTGATCAATCAAGGACTCATTAACAGTTTCTTTCAGAAAAGAAATAGAAGATAGTAGATCAACTACGTTAGCTATCCTGTATATACATATATACAAAATTTTTCCTTCTTTCCCTACACTTTTCCCACATCCCAGTTACCCTTTACCCTTGAGCATTTTCCTTTCATTTCACAATGTCTATCATACCTCCAAGTTTTTATTAAATCTTTCAGGTTTTACACTAGTGAGACAACGCAGTGCTTGCACATGCAGGTCTGATTTATTTCACTTCTGAGTATGGTCTCTAGTTGTGACCATTTACCTATAAAATCCTCGAGTTTATCTTTCTTTCTAGCTGAGTAATGTTCCATTATATAAAAATACCACAATTTTTTTATCCAATCCTCAGTGGATGGACATTTGGGTTACTTCCACAATTTAGCAATTACAAATTGTGCTGCTATGAACATAGGTGCACATATATTGCTGTGATATGATGTTTTTAGATCTTCTGGGAAAATACCCAGCAGGGGAATAGCTGGGTTGAATGGGACCTCTAGACCTAGTTTTCTGAGGAATCTCCAAACTGATTTCCACAGTGGTTTCACCAGTCTGCATTCCCACCAGCAGTGAAGAGTTCCTATTTCTCCATTTAGGTCTACTAATATTATTATTATTGTGTTAAAACACACAAAAAAATAGAAGGTTTTATAATAGGCATGCAGTCACCCTTCTAGTAGCTACGCTTTTTTTGGATACTGGGAATTGAACTCAGGGCCTTGCGTTTGCCAGGCAGGCGCTGTGCCTCTGAGCTATATCCCTGGCCCTAGGTATGCTTGAAATGTCCTCATTAGCATCATGAGGCAGGTACATCTTTTTTTTTTTTTTTTTTTTTTTGGCTTTTCTCCGGTACCGGGAACCGAACTCACGACCTTGCGCTTGCCAGGCAGGCGCTTTTGCCGCTGAGCTAAATCCCCAGCCCCGAGGCAGGTACATCTTTGATTGATTCTCACTTTACAGTGGATGAAAAGGAGCTGTAAGGGTCAGCATTCTGCCCAAGGGAGTGGACACACCAGTTCCATACTCTGACCTCCTACGCAATACTACTTTCCAGCTATAGGCAGAAATTTGTTCTTCAGAGCTAGGCTCAGTTGAAAGCCCAAGGCACTGTAGCAAAAGCATGGTGACTGTGCACCTCTCCACCCCTCAGAGCTGAAGTCCCCAGAGTCCTCTCTGCCTAGAGACAAAATAGGGACAGAAAAGTGGGATGAACAGGCTATCCCTGCAAGCTGGGCTGTGGTGACCACAGATACCAGAAGGGAGAAATTTGGGGGCTGACTCAAGACATTAGCTAATTGAGACACAGAATTTGTGATAAATGGGAACCTTTTGGGACCTCACCCAAGATTCAGATAGCAGCTGAGTCTATGTGTAATGCACCCCAGGACAGGCAATTGGCTTATTTGTTTGTTTTGAGACAGGGTCTCACTGTGTAGATCAGGCTGGCCTTCAACTCACTGTGTAGGCCAGGCTGTCCTCAGAATTACAGCAATCCTCCTGCTTCAGCCTCCTGAGTGCTTGTATTGCAGGTGTGAGCCACCACACCCAGCCAAGCACAGACAGTTTCTGAGTCCAGCTTTAAACTTCAAATATGTTCCTGCTCCCCTGCAAAATTCTAGTACGTATCCATTTTCAAACATTTTTTTAAATCTGCAAACATGAAAATGGCTAATTTTTAAATTAAGAAAAGGAAAACACATTTCTTTAGGGAAAAAAAGAAAATAAATCAGTCTATAGAGAGGAAAAACCTTTGCTGTTTTTCAACCTCATGTGTCTAGATAAATGTTTTATGTGCCCAGTTCATCAAATCCTCACAAACACTCTAGGGGTCAGAGTTGATTTAAACGTCCCATACATACACACACACACACACACACACACACACACATATAAAAGGAAACTGAATCATACAGTTACTTCACCCTTTGCTACTACTGATTAGTATTTTACTGTGTGACTGTTCCTTAAATTATATAGTTAGCCCCCTATTATTAGACAGATATGTCAGCTCTAATAGTATAATAATAACTGATGCCTCAAGAACCATCCCGACGCACGTATTTTTCCCCCGCGTTTAACCATGGGCGTTTATGTACTGAATTTGTGGATGTGGTAATGCTAGCTCAAAGGAAGTGCACATCTACATATCTTACATTCTGAGTTTTTTCCACTTCCAGTTTTCTGACTTTCACCCACACAAACACACAAATGAACACACACACACACACAAGCACCTGAAACAATGAGTATTTGCTGGGCATTTACCAAAGACATTGTTCTGATGTCCCACACTTCTTCATCTTAGATGAACACTCTGGGTATTGTCATGTCTCCTCTTCCACATGGGCAAATGGAAGCACCCAGGGCAGACAATCACTTGGCCATTTGACACCAGATCCTGTGTGCACTATTTTCTTTAGCAATCATGTCTATCTCCTTCATCAAACTTATTCATGGGCTTCTCCAACATTTTCAAGATGAAGTGCACAGTCTATAGAAGCAAAGAAACAATTACCTGATGACCTGGCCATTATCAGACTGAAGTGTTTGTACTTCAGGTGGTGGAGAACCATAGAACGTGTGGCATTCAGCAAATTCCATAGTGCACCTTGCTTTGAGATGATCAACCCAATTAGCCCCGCTCTCACACAGTGGTTGTAAAGGGACTTTGGGTTCTTTTTCTTTCTCCAATTGTGTTTCCCCAGGGTACCAGAAAAGAGACTGTCAAAAATTACTAAGAGAATCTGAGGCAGCTTCTGTGTGTAAACTCCCTCACACCCCTGTCCTTTCCCTCCAAGGTCATTTGCAACTGCCCCGCACCTGCTCGAACTTATTTTCTGTTTGTTTGATAAGAAGACCTGAGTTTATGCTGTAGGCTGCCCCATAGTGGATTTATTTTAAGATCTGGTGAGCAATGCGCTCCTCTGTCTGGAGCCCAGCTGCAGAGACCCTGACCAGGCAGATACCTCTGGGGAGTGGTGTTTTTGGAAATCAAGCCAAAACAATGCCTTGCTCTGCTCCTGGGGCAGCTGAGTAATACTATTGGAGAGAGAAACGGGAGGCGAGCTTCTTCCCTGGGGCCAGGTCTTGGGTCACTGCCTTCAGTTCACACTGGAAAAAAGAGCAGAATTGGAGGTCATTAGATCTAAAGACACCTGAGAGATTGCATCACAATCTCCCTCAGACTCAGCCTCAGCCTCAGTTCCCATTTATCAGCCACCTGCAGGAGACTCCATCCATGCAAGGTCTCATTCATGCTCAGAAAGAAGCTCTTACATTGATTCAATGCACAGCCTTGGAGTTGGGACCGCCTACGTTTACATTCCAGATTTATGCTAAGCTCTGTGATCTGGGAAAAGTTGCTTGGCGTCTGTGGGGGCGGCATCCTCTTGTGCACAATGGAGAAAATAATAACATGTACACCAAAATAACGTGTGTTGGGAGAGATGGGCTTAGATACGTGTGCCAAGTATGGTACACTGTACCTGTTGCATACTTAGCGCACACTAGGCACGTGTCCCAGTGACAGCACTGTGAGGGGGATGTATTGCTTATTGTTGCATCTTGAAGCTCAGCCATGCACTGAAGCTCAGCTGTGCCTGGATCTACCTGGCCCTGTCCTGTCTTGTCGTCTAGGATGCCATGGCTCTGTGGTTGTACAGCTTCCTCTCCTGCAGTCCCACAAGTTTCTTGCTCAGTCACAGCTATGTAATTTGGCTGACCTCAAATGCTTCCTTCTTGAGAAGCCTTTCTGGATCTCTCTCTTTCCCCTCTGTGCTGTCTCCTCCCATTCCTTGGTGGTCTACATCACAGACTTTAGCGGCCTTATAACAACTTTGACCCATTCGGTGTCCTGGCCTTGATACCATAAGAGGACCAGTTGCTCTCTAAGAGTAGGAATTTTTTAAGTTCCATCTTTCCCAAACCTTGGTATAGAGCAGAGAGTATGTGTTAGACACTCAGAAAGTTTGTTTGAACTGCAATATCACCGCATTGGTAAAGAGCACAATGAATGAACGTGAGTGAATGAATGAATGAATGAATGAATGAACAGGTGAATGAATAGGAAGGAGTAAGTCAGGGAACTAGTGAACACATAAAGGAATGAATGAATGAGCAGATAAAAAGTGAATGAATGGGAGATAGTGATGGAGGGGGAAAGGTAGGGAACTGCTGGATTTGGAGCCCCTGGAAAGCTCTTGCCCTTGTCCTCAACCATTACCTCTTGGCTGCTCTCTCCCCAGTGTCAGGCATACTTTTCCAGTTCTGTCCACCCTCCCCGTCCTCCTGTTTCCTCTCACCTGTCTCCAGGAGTGATGACTGCACTAATTTGTTCACAGACCATTAACTCTTGAGCACTGGAGGAGGCCACCCTGAGCTGGCCAGGAAAGATGGGGGTGCTGGCTCTCTAGCTGCCAGGAGACGTCATCCTTCTCTCGCATGCCTGCCCGTGCAGCGCGGTGCTTATCTCTCCCTCTGCCTGCTTGCAGATGACGAATGTACAGACTCCTTCACGCCCAATCAAGTCGCCAGAATGCACTGTTACTTGGACCTGGTCTACCAAGGCTGGCAGCCCTCCAAGAAGCCGGCGCCTGTCGCACTTGCCCCCCAGGTTGTGGGCCACACAATGGACTCCGTGACGCTGGAGTGGTTCCCGCCCATCGATGGTCACTTCTTTGAAAGGTGAGTGTGCCCTGTGGAGTGCTGATCCCTCTCTCTCTCTCCTGCCAAAAAGAGTGAAACTTGGAAGGGAAGCTGCGTTGGAGAGGATTTTGTTTCTTACTCTTGCTAAACGGGAACCACACCACTAAGTACAGTGACTTGTACCTATGGCATGTTGTAATTTTTGGATCAGGGAATAAACGAATGATTGCTACTGAAAATGACTAAGTAATGATACATATTCTAAGTGACTCAATGTTTAAATTTGCTTTATTATTAAAAACTTGGAAACTTCTATTGCTAGTCTCCAGGATGGGGGCATTGGTTTAGGCTCTTAGCTCAGGGGTTGAAATTGCCTCTGCTTAAAGAGCAACATGCTTCATATCATACTCTATAAAGCTCACATTAAAAGCATGAAAGTATATGTGCCTGCACATGTATGTATGTATTCATATATATGAATATGCGTGAATAGTATGTAATCATAATCTTTGTGTCCAGTGCTCATTTGTATAACTGAGGAAGGATGTTTTAGAAGACCAAGGAATAATAAATTAAAGTGCAATTCTGGTCCCTTGTCTATTACAATTCTGGTCCTCAATTCTGGTCCCTTGTCTATTACAAGTTAGCTGTATGACCTTAGGTGTGTCATTTTCCCTGTCTGAATCTTATGTTCTTGTCCTTAAAAATAAGTCTGATGACGCCACAGTAGCCAGAGGGTAGAGACCTAAATAAATGTTTGTTTGTCATTTCTATCAACATGGAGACTCCTGACAAGCTCAAACTTGAGTGAACCAGATTTAACCAGATTGGGTCAGTGGTAGAGAACTTGCCTGCCATGTGAAGCTATGTGCCATCCTTAGAACTGTAAAAACAATGTTTATGAAAATGGACCACCGTATTTACTTCTGTTTTGAAACTTCACTTTAACTAAGGAAAAAATAAGTATCTTACCCCATCCCAGCTCTTCTTGGGGTGCATAACACTGATGCTGGTAAAAGTAACAGCTATAATAATAATTAACCAGTATTTCCCTATTGGGGTTCTGTGGTTTGTCAGATGCTTTCTATGTGATGGACTTTGTGCTGAATGCTTTATATACAGAGGCTCATTTAATATTCCCAGTAATCCAGTAAAAAAAGGAATTCTCTTTCTCGTGTGCCAGATAAGGAGAGATTTGTTGCTGAAAGAGGCTGAGAGATTTGACCAGGAGCCCGTAGAAAATGGTAGGGGCTGGGCTCCAACTCACATTTTGCTAACGTCTTGTCTGTGATTCCCATGTGTTTTCATTAAATTGTTCCAAAACTAAAGTTATGCAGGAGGTGTTACACCACCTCCCAGAACAGCTGCAAAAAGGGTGGCAAAGAGCTCATAGTTACAAGTGTGTGTGTGTTTGTGTGCACGTAAAAATATATTAAGCAAAGCTCTCATAGACACCTCTTGAAAAATGACCAACAGTTATATGAAAAAAAATAACCAACAGTTGAAAAATAACCAACAGTTATATGAAAGAAAAAAGAGCTCAATCTCACTAATTATCAGGGAAGTGCACATTAAAGGTACAATGAGATATCATCTCGCACTGTTAGAATGGTTATTAGCAAAAGGACAAAACATTATCAATGTTGGAAAGGCGTGGGGAGAAGGGAATCCTTGTGCACTGTGGATGGTGATGTAAATTAAAACAGCCACTGGGGAAAACAATATGTGGGTATCTGGGGAAACTAAATATAGAACTACCTTAGAGTCCCGCAATCCCACTTCTATAGATATACCTAAAGGACCTGGAGTCAGTACACAGAAGAGATACATGCATGATTTTCACAATAGCCGAGATATAGAAGCCACTGAAGTGTCCTTTGTCAGATGGCTGGGTGAAAAACGTGAGATATATGTGTATATATATATAATATTATTCAGCCTTAAAAGGGGAACATCCTTTCAATTATAACAACAGGGGTGAATCTGGAGGATATTATGTTAATTGAAATAGAACAGTTGCAGAAAGACAAATACCACCTGATTTCACTTATATGTGGAATTTTTAAAAGTCAAACTAGAAATAAAGAGAAAGAGTTATGGCTACCAGAGGCCGGGGAGGAGGGTAGATGGCGAAAGGAAAGATGTTGATCAAAGGGTACAAACTTTCAGTTAGACAGGAGTGAGAAGCTTTATGTGGTTCACACAATGGTGATCCAAGTCTGCAATACTGCATTACTTCAGTATTGCTGAAGGATAGATTTTAAATGGTTTTACCACCAAAGAAAAACCCCATGATAAATATGAGGAGTTATGAATTTGTTAATTTGCCTAATTCAGTCATTCAGCCTTGCAAACATATAGCAAAAACATCACATTGTATATCAGAAATATATAGCTGTCATGTAAGTTAAATTTTTAATTTAAAAACTTCTACAATAGTGGTACCACAGGAAATAGCGCTCTAATTTTCCACCTCACCACCAGCCCCTAAATCGAGAGACTTCCTTTGGCAGCAGGATGAGTGGGGAAGGAAATGTAGTTCCTGGGCTGTCTGTAGAAATTCCCTTTCCCCTGCCCCAGCCTCTGAGCTCACTGGGAGCTCAGAGCTGGGTTTGGGAAACCTCATGTGACACTTCAGAGCAAGCTTTCCAGCAGCCGTAGATTTATTTATTTTTTCTGTGGCGATGAGAAGTATCAGACTTTTTGGTCAAGCCTTGGCCTCCATTCCACTTAAAAATGGAAGTTTTGTAAATGAAACTTCCTGTGTATGTATTCAATTTGTATTTCATAAAGCCGTTATTGTCCATTAAATAAATACCATCTGATTGTTGGAAACCTATTGGAAGGTTAATTGTTGAGTAATGAGATATGTCTCTATTACATAGTGCCCTCATTCTCAATCAATATGTTTTTAATAACCTATAGTCAGTTGGTACTTGAGGCCCATACAATAGCTATTTTGTTCAGTCTAAAATTTCATAACGGAGTTATCATATGTTAAATTAAAACTGACATTTCTGAAACACGTCTAATTAGGGGTAACAGCTATGTAGACCATCGTATATAGCTAAAGGAAGTCAGTGTCCAAGTTCAATAAATTCCCTGAAGTACTGGAACCACATTTTATGTGTATCCCTCACACATACACATGGAATTTACACTTGGTTTAGCTATTAGAGAGTGTACATGCTTTGATGTCAAGTTGTTTGTTTCCCCCTTCTCGGCTTCCTTAGTTCCAGTCCATGGGACCTTGGGCCAGCCATCTCAATTCTCTGAACCCTTGAGGTTTCTTACATCAAAGATGCTAATGGTGCCCCATCACCTGTCTTTTATGAGGAATTCACAAAGATGATCTCTGTGACATGGCAGCACACATGCTCTGCACTCAAGAAACATTAGCTTCCATCTCATGCAACGTTTTCCAGAGCTGTTTAGCTACTTGAAAAATTCCCTTTCCCTGCAAAACCTCTGGTGTTTTCCACGTCATCCATCAATGCCAACGTCTTGCCCCCGGCCATGCTCATGTCCTCCTGCTGTTCTCACATCTGTGGTCTAAGGGAATACAAGGGTTTCCCTTAAAAAAACATATTCAGATCCTCCCACAGCCTGTGTCCTCACACATGGGCAACTGAATAAATAATTCAAGGCCACCCCTGGTTTTTCTCTTTTATTTTTATCTGTCTTGCAAACATGTGTTAACTGGATGGTTTCAGTTATCTGAACAATTGGCCATGGCATATTGGAAAGAGTGCCGGGCTGGGAACCAAGAGACCTGGGTCTGAATTCTTTGCTAATTCATCCATTTTGTCTGCCTTTTCAGTCTTTAGCTTCTGATCTGTAAGCCAAAAGATTTTAGCTTTAAAAAATGATTTAAATAATTATTTTCCCAATATTCCCAAAGATGATACATAACTAATGTCGTTCGATTTTCAAAGGAGAGAAGTCAGCTCATTTTGTACAGTGAGCACCTGAGGAAAGCACTATCCGCTGGGACTGTACATGCAATAATGGCTATGTTTGATATTTTCCCTATCAAGATAGTAGCCACTATCTTGGCTATGGCCAGGAAGCACACAAAATACTAGTGTTACTGAGGAGGCCAATTCTTAAATATATTTAGTTATGATTAGTTTAAACTTGCATAGCCTCATGTGACTGGTAGCTACAATATTGAGGAACACAACTGTAAAGCTTTAAGCTTTTACTATTACAAAACCTGGGTAAGAAAGGTGACCTCTCCCAGCAGTCAGCAGTCACATTCTGTAGATAAATTATTTCAGTGTGCGTGTGTGTGTGTGTGTGTGTGTGTGTGTGTGTGTGTTTGCATACTGGTATCCATTAAAATCAAATGAAGGCCAAAATTAAGAAATATGTACATTTCCTAGCTATATCCAGCATCCCATATCATATCTTGGGAACCTGAGTTGTGTTGAGAACTCAGTGAAGTTCAAGTGACTTTTGTATCACCCAAAACAAAACCCCTAAAATAAATAAACATGAAAGAGTCAATGAGCATTAAGGTCATTATAGTTCTTGAATCCATCGCAGGACATTTGTAATCTCATTGTCGTCATAAAGCCAGTCATGTGACTCAGAGCTGCTATGCATGGATTGTGGTCATTGTAAGGGAACTCATTCCTCACTGACTGTGCTGAAGAAGTATCTCTTCGTCTCTAACCCCTGACTGACGATATATTTGTACAGATATCATTGCTGCTCATTCGAGAATAACTCATACATATTTCTAACATGCAGAAATTTTAGAAAACCAAGAACAGTAAAAGTGGTGGTGGGGAAATCAACCTATGATCCACTTTAAATATGACTTTTTACCTAGTATTATATCTTAAACTTTTTGCATGAAATTGTATACTGTGTAAATAAATTTATAACTTCTTATCATTCCACTGAATATATTAACCTTGGGACTTTTAATTAGGGTTACTGTGCTTGTGAAATTTCTACCAATGTATGGTTGCATATTTACAATGAGAGAGCTAAGAATGCAGAATATGTAATTTGAAAGTCTGCACTAGGTTAGCCATGAATATTAACAATATTTCTGAATGACTGATGTTCATTCATCCATTCGTTCATCCATCCATCCAACCATCCATCCATCTACTCAACTACAAACACTAACCATCCCTAAGAATAAGTTATGTACTGTACCCTGGGAGAAAAAGAGAGCCGTAAGATATTGACCTCATCCTTAAAGACTTCATAGACTTCAAATAGAAAGAACTCATTTATATTTAAAAAAGAACTCCTTCATAGAGAAAATAATATCCAAGGTAAAGCTTGAGGATGAGAGACATCAACCACATTTAAAAAGCAAGGATGGAGGTATGGTGTAACAGAACAACACAGACGTTCACCAGAGCTCATTAGTGGAAACAAGACTAGAATGATAAGAATGGTTTACTAGGGCATTAGATACTGCCATGGCACAGGGGGATGGGGTTTGGAGTTACCAAAGGAGATAGGCAGGACTCGACCTGTTCAAATTGAGATTTGGTGATGACCTGCCAACTGCTGTGTGTGGACCACCAGAAGATTGTGATGCATACAAGTGTGTCCTTCCATGCCATGTGAGCCCAGAGGCAGAGCCTTTTCTTGTGAGGGGCAAGCTTTAAGAATTGAGGTTTGATTCCCCCTTTGAGAGTTTTCTAGGAATGGTGAAAGAGGAATCACCAGGGGTCTCGGATTTGAGAAAAGCTGGATTGAGCTGGGACACTTCTTGACATCTTGGTCTTCAAGATTCAGTTTCCAATTTTTCTGCAAGGGTAACTCTGACCTGCAGAGTTTGGGCTCTACAATAATACAGGAGGCATAGCCTACCCTACTGCCTTCTCCATGTCTGCCTCTTAAACAGATGCCAAATGTAGAGAACAAGTAGGATCCCAGTGACTGTTGTGTCCAGAGAGAGATTGAACCCAGATACACAAGACAGAAGAGGAAGCCACCATCATATTCTACTCTGGGTCTGATCCCACTGAGGGATTGGCTGGCCCCTTGGCAAGCTGCTAAAATGAATTAGATGGCATAGTAAAGAAAATACTTTTGACTGTTAAATTAAAGAGTGACTCATCCATCCCCAGAATGTCAAGGCTGAAAGGCTCTGTAGGCATCCTCTAATCCAGCCCATTCATTTTCAAATGAGGGAACTCTGCTTTCTTCATAAATCATGCCTGTGACACAGGGTGGTGCCTGGACCATAGTAGGTACAGTCCATGGCAAATGAAGTAAAAGGTTTTCTCACAACCCCACAGCAAATTCCAGTGGAGCTCTTCATGACAGGTGAATCATAACAATCGAAGGTGGCAAGTTTCTGCCCTGTTGATTCAGTGCTGCTTGAGGTTAGGGGCACAGTAGGTACATCATCAGAACAGAAGGCACTTTGGCCCCAATGAGGTCTTGGGAAATGAGACAAAATTCACTTATGGATATTTTCTGGAAGTCTTCACATGTGTAGAGAAAAAAGGGGGGTACATAAGCTTGTGTCCTCTGCCCTGTTGTCTTTAACCTCATCGTATCAGCTGTTCATTCAAATGTTTCTAAGTCGGTGCATTTCCCCTCTTTCCTTGGCCTCCTAGAGAATTGGGATCAGCATGTGACCTTTGCCTGGAAGGGAGGATCCTGGTGCAGTATGCTTTCAAAGCCTCCTCCCCAATGCCCTGTGGCCCATCTGGACACTGGAGCCCTCGGGAAGCAGAAGGTAAGGCAGCCTTCTGGATAATAACTGAAAGGTGCTCCATGCAGAAAGCAACTCGTTCTATGTCAGCACAGGTTTATGACTTCTAATGGTCTCTTTCATCCGTATGCCATCTCGTCTGATCATACGATCACACTTGCAAAGCCAGTATTCATGCACTCATTGATTCAACAAGTATGTTTAAACTCTTCAGTATGCGATTTTCTCATGTTACATATGAAGAATCAAAGGCACCAAGGTATTAAATAAATGCCCAAGGCCACACACCTGATAAACGCCCAGTGTGCAAGGTGCGTCTATGTCCCCCAGATCCTCACTGCCTGTGGGTGCAAGCAAGGTCACTCTAGTCACTATATCTACTTGGGGGGCTTCAGTACATTAGTAATCTTTGATTCTGAGATATTCAGGGTATTCTCACATGTGTCACAACTGTTCCTTTTAGTTTCTTCCACGTACCCTTCATTTACGTTCCACTTACCTGCAAGATACTTGAGGGGAGAAAGTCCTGACTGTCTCTGTTGGGGTCTCTCTCATCATCAGACCCTTCCCTGCTCGGTGGGTGTCTCTCAGGCTTCCCCAGGGGCCTATGACTGTGCTTCCTTATACTATCCTGATTATCAAAAACAGCTGTTCTGTGTTCTACAGAAACAAAGAACACAAATGCTGATTGTTGTACTCTGTCCCTTGGCCCTGAAGTCAGATTGGCAGAGACTTTCTTCCTTTCTCTCCATCTCTCTTTCCTGGCCCTCAGAGACTCACACCCAGACCCTGGCTCTGCCCAGTGCCTCCTGTTCTTGTGCAGGTCAATTCATGCCAACAGCACTGGGCGGGGACGCTGTGATACCAGTTCATCTGAGGAAGCAGAGCCCGTCTCCTCATGGAGCACCAGTGAGAAGTCCTCTGCTCAACTCTGTATTTTTAGAAAGAAGGTTGAAAGGAAAGAGCCAGAGATAGACTAAATCAAGGGAGTGGGATCAGAGAGGAAAGTGAACTTGAAAAATGACAGCACTGTACTTTATTTTCTAAAGTAGCTCAAAATAAAAATGAGAGTTGAACTCGGGAACTCTAAACAAATCCATCTGGAATGTAAAGCAAGAGGGATGTCTGGGAGAAACCCTCCGTTCAGCCTCCGAGAATCGCAGGCTGTCATAGTTGGAAAGGACCCTGGGGTCATCCAGCTCCAGTTCCCACCCAGTGCAGGAATCCCCTCTATGTGCTTCTTCACTCCGGCTGCCTCACACCCTGTTCTAGCTCTACTTTTGTACAAAGTAGTTTCTGAAATCTGCAACCGTAATTTCTCATCCAGAATAAATATGCTTTGGGATCTCACAGAAGAAGCTGTGTCTCTGACACTTGGCAACACTCATCCTACCTGCATAGATTGAATCTTGACTTACCTGTGACCACCACAGTGACCGTGTGCTGGGCACTGTCCCTGGTGCATAGGCAAGGAGCTGAGCTGACCGTTTGTCATGAGTAACTGCCATTCTGTGAGCAGAGGCCTGTGCCAGTGGAAATAGATGGCTGGTGACTCTCAGAAAGGAGACTTGGTATAGAACTGGAGACTCAGACTTTCCATTAAATGTCATGAAGTGCATTCGAGAAGGGGAAGAAGTTTAGCAAATTTAGAGTGGAAGTGTTCTTAAGTGTGGTCCAGAGACTTACAGGATAGCTGGAAGGGCTTTCAGGGTGTTCGGGGAATCAGACTTTTGTGATCATAGCATGGCATCATCTGCCTTTTGCTCTTTTCATTCTTTGCTATGAGTACAGTTTTCCAAGGGACAGCGTAAGGTGATGTCATTAATGCTCTGGCCAGTAATGGAACGCATACTCATGTTTTCTTGGAGTTTAAAATTGCTTAATTTTAACCTAGAACTTGATAACTACTAGCACGTATATCTTACTTTTAAGTGGATTTATAGCATCAAGAGAAAAGTGGGATGGGAAAAGTTGGATGGTTGAGCTAGAAAATGAACATGTAAGGATAGCTTTGGATTAACTCTGATGGTAGTGAGAAGACACCTGGTGCCTTGACGTGAGTGGTATATATGGTGAGGTGTGCACCTTACCGAGATTGTCCCTGCTTCTCGAGATGAGATTAGGAGGGCAAAAGTTCTAGAGGAAAGGAAGCAGATAGTGGCTGTGATCAGAAACCACGTGAGGAATGGTCTTGACCTAGTTGATGTCTGTGGCAGTGAGAATGGAGAAAAATTGAGGGAGTTCAGAGGTACTTAGGATGTGGAATCAGCTAGGGTCTCCCTTCAGACTTTTCTGGCTATAATCGTTGTGGTTTGTTCTATCACTTGTTGGAATGACGTAATTTCCAGACATCTCCACACACTTCCATCCAAACCAGCTGGTGGTTAGTAAAGTCTGCTCCTGGTTCATCCTGGACCCTTTCAAAGTGTGCCATGCAGTATGGAATTCCACTGCAAGTGCTGAGCCCCCCGATTTCCTGAGCTGACTCAGGCCTCCAAAGAAACCCAGCCACCCTGGGTTTTCCTCCTATGTAAATTTAGTACATTCGGGCCAGGAAAACACTTCTTTTTTTAGAGCATCCTATTACAGGCTCTGTGATCCATTTGGCTGAGACCCTTTTAATATCCTTGAAGAAATAAACTTTTCCATGAGCCAAACTCTTCAATTTATTTCTCAACTCATTTTCATCCTATTTATCTTTGTGTGTTTAAGTTTTTGGACTTCCCAAACTAACAGAAAACTCCCAAATTCATGAGAGAGAGATCAGGCGTGTGTATGGGTTTAGGGAAAGAGCACAGGGTGAGGCGAGTAGGGTAAGGACATTGGTCTCAGTCCTGTTGTCAACATGCTTTATGCACTAGAGAGTCACTGAGCTTCTTGGGACATAGCATCTTATCCAGAAAATGGCCATTTGAACAATGGTGCCCTGTTCAGGACTCAGTCCGTGGAGTTATAAGCTCTTTTTTAAGCTCCATATTAACAAACTAAGATGTTTTTAATTTCACAAGTGTTTATTGGACAGCCCCTCTGCTGCATTAACTTCATTTCAAAGAAGGTAAATAAAATCATTGAACATCTTCCTTCCTGCCTTTGCTCACAAGAAGTACATATACCCCTAAGTCTTGAGCAAAAGCTGTATTTCATACAGGAATATTTCCTGATATATCTACCACATTGTACTTGCAGCCCAAGAATTAGACAGCTGGATCTGACCTACATGAAATCCTTCTAAGATCACTTGTGCATGTTGGGTTTCCATGAGAGATTAACACATAGCACCCATTGTTTTTATTTATTTTTAGTGTAAGTGCTTTCTTCATTGTTCTTCCTAGAAAGTTTCAGGTGTGCTAAACTATTCATCTGCAAAAAAACTTAACATTAGGTTTTTACTGCTCTATACAAGCCAACAGCTGCAGTGTGTGTACACATAGACCTATTATGGGCCTCTGTGTAGATCTTCCTAAATATAATTTTGGATCAGCATAAGTACATGTAAATATATCTCTGTACATATCTATAGCTGGATTTGTTTTTTACTTTAATGACAATTTAAAGAAATAATCAGAACAATACAGAATTTCAAAACAAGATGATAGGAAATTAACAATTGTTATTATATTGCATATTGTTATCTCCAAAGTAGTTGCTCAGTTTACTAGATATAAGTATGAAAAACTGATCAAACAATATAAGCACTAACTGTTCCTTTCAGTGAACTAATAGAAATTAGTAGTACAATTATTTTATCTATCTTGTACGTATATATATATATATATATATATATAGAGAGAGAGAGAGAGAGAGAGAGCTTGATTTCTAGTGGACAGTTTATATAAATACAGAATTTTTCACTTAGTCACCATATATGCAAAAGGATGTACGAATAATGAAATAACAGGAGCTTTGCACTTAGCTTTATTCTTTTCTCCCTCTCTCTACTCTCTTTCGTTATATACTTCACTTCTCCACTCCCTCCCTCCCTCCTTCTCTCCCTCCTCCCTCCTCCCCTTGTGTTTCTTTATCACAAGCCTTGTTTCACACCAACAGTTGTATGCGATTTTCATTAGCGCAGTAATCTCCTAACTGACCTCACTAGACTAGAAGGTCCATGAGGGCAGAACGCATGTCTAGAAACATTTTCCCCCAGGGTCAAACCTAACTCAGGACTCAGGATTGCCATTCAATAGTCATTCTTTGGATCCACGAATGGATGGATAGACAGGTAGATGGATGGATGGGTGGATCACAGCTTTATTAAGAAGCAGTGGTTCTTCTAAAATATAAATCTAGGTCATTCATCTGCTTAAATGTCTCAATAATTCTTCTTCTACCTAGATATAAAGTTTACTTTCCTTAACATGACATACAAAACATTTGTTACTGTGGGTTCCACTTGGATCGCCAGCCTCAGCCTCCCCTGTATTACTCAATTTAGTCATTTTAGCTTATGCTCTTTCTCAACTGTTCACTTTGCTTGGAATGCCTCCTCCTACTAAGACTTTCCTTATTCATCTCCTCCCTTCTTAGGATATCAATCATATATTTGTGATCATCTATTAAAGATATCATTCAATTTGCATTTTATAGCAACCTTGTGAGGTAGGTAACATTACAGTAGGTAACACAATGAAAAGCTGTGTAGTTGACATTTTAACCCAACTTGCATTGCTTCAAAGCCTGGCATACTGCCCGGACCAACAGTATCATTCCTACTGGGGAAGTACTTAACCATCTGAGTCTCAGTTTCCTCTTCTGTGAAAAAAGTTTCATAAGACCTGCGTCATACACTCACTGCCAGGCGGAGAAGAGCTGAGGCATGTAATGTACTTGGCTTGGGGCCTGCACAGAGAGGGTGGTCAGTTCAAGTCTGGTATTATTAAAGCGATTGCCACTTTGGTAGTGGTTTGGATCTCATGACCGATCCAGCTTCTTTTCAAATCTAAGTCTGTCTGTAATAACCTGACAAGCACAAACTTTGCTGAGGTTTCTAGTCCTGTTTACCTACTGGATCATAGTGGACAGGTTCACCTTCCTGTCCTTGCAAAGCATTTCTCTCCTCTGTTGATTAACAAGAAACCAGGGAGGAAAGATGAGCCAAGCAGATTTGTCATCTTTGCTCTCCTGTGGCTTCCTACTGTTGACAGTCATTTTCGTCAAGGAAAGGAGAAAGATCTTTTTATCTTCTGCCAATTCTGAGAGAAAGTCCATGAAGACGGGTAGTATGTTCACGGGGCAAACGCCATCAGGCAGTAGGCTCTAAGACCCTGTGAGGTAACTTCCTCTTTAATTCCATATTAACAAGAAAAAAAAAGCTTCTTTTAACAAATATTGATTGAGCATTCAAGAGCAATCTGTATAGACCAGGCTCTATATTAAGCCAAGTCTATATGACTTCTAGTGAAATAGGTCTATAAAACAGGGATGGAAATGTTACCCAATTTATGGGGCTTTAAAGACAATCATATGATTTAAGGAATGCCTAAAGAATGTGCTGCATATACTGTAAAGTGTTGCACTCAATAATATGCACTGAAAGAATAAATGATACATGTATACTTACCAACCACAAAGCTGAGAATCCAAAATGCCATGGGTTGGCTAGTAGACAAGAAGAAGACTTCAGGTAGGTGGGGATTCTTGTTTGGACTTCTCCCAACCAGGGGTGGCTTCAGCCAGCAGTTGCTATATTAATAGAACTTAATTAAGGAGGTGTAGAAGAAACTTGTTATGTCCATCTTGTGTTGTTCTGGTTCCTTATATCTAAAAGGTCTTTGTGCATTTCCTTGCCTCCCTTTCTTCTCTTCTCTCTTTTCTCTTCTCAATCTCTGCTTAGTTACTTCACTCTCTTCTTGTCTGGGCAGAGACAAGGAGGTTGGAGGCATTACAGCCTCCCTTGGAGTGACTTTTCCACCCCAAATGGCTTTGCAGTGTTCATATTACAGTCATTCCCACTGTTCTGTAACATAACCACAAAGAGTTGTCAAGCAAAAATTATTTTTTCCTTTTTGTTTTAGAAATGTTCATCATCCTTACCCACACCCACAGCCAAACCCTGATACTGATGAAATAAAAGAACATGGATAACAGGACAACTTGAGATTCCCCCACCCTTTGCTCTCCAGCTGATCTGTATCTTTCACTAGATTCCCAAATGCACACTAGAACCAACTGCTGCACTGAGTCATGATTGCTCTGCTCAGCAGCACAAGGGAGAGCTCGCTGAGGGTCTAGATGTGACTTCAGTAGAGAAAAATTCAGAAGTCACTGCAGGCTGAGATCAGTTGGGATGAGACACGGTCTCCCTGGGGAATGAGGAGAAGAATCTCCTTCCTCCCCGCCTCCTTATCCAATCCTCCCCTTCCTGAGTCAGACTGGATAGAGCGCAGAGAAACTCAGTGATGTGGAATGACCTCATGTGAGGAAGGGGAGGAGGAGAGATAAGATGGCTCCAGAGTTGCCTTCAAGCTCCATCATTTAGACTGTAGTTTCCTCCCACATCCTCCATCCAAGGGGTGAATGTATCCTTGTTCACCTCTTCTTTGCTGGTGATTTTCTGGCGCTCTCTGTCAGTCCACGTGGGTTATACCAAAAAGAATAGTATCCAAAGAATTCTAATTTATTGTAGTGGCCCTTTCCTCCAATGGAGAGAAAAACAAAGAGCAGTGATTTCAGAATGAGACAAAACTGGGTTCTGATTGTGTCCTTTTACACTTTAAGATACGTGACTTGATCAGTTCACTCTGTCTCTGAGCTTTACTTTCCTTGCCTCTAAAATTAATCCTTATAACAATTCAACAAGTTCGTAAGACTTAGAGGGTGTTTGAAAAATATGTGTCACTTCTTCCTTTCTATCCTGGACAGCAAGGTCACCAAGTGGAAGACAAGTTTGGGCATCCACTCCATAGTAAGACACTTAATTTAACATAGTTTTCAACAAATGTGTCATGATTCATCTGAGATCTGTTTTTCAAGTTGAGGATGATTTGGGTGCTATGTACACAGTAGGTTTACTAAGGCACTGGGAATTCTTTCTCTTTTCTTCCCTCTAAGTTCTAATCAGATCACTCTATTTTGGGATCCTCAGGAAACTCTGAGAACCAAAAATGAATGTCTTTCCTCAAGAATTCATTCCTCGCCTCTTCTCCATAGGTCACCCAGATGTTGAACAGCCCTGTAAGTCCAGTGTCCGCACCTGGAGCCCAAATTCAGCTGTCAATCCACACACGGTCCCTCCAGCCTGCCCTGAGCCTCAGGGCTGCTACCTTGAGCTGGAATTCCAGTACCCTTTGGTCCCTGAGTCTCTGACCATCTGGGTGACGTTTGTCTCTACCGACTGGGACTCTAGTGGAGCTGTCAATGACATCAAACTCTTGACTGTCAACGGAATGAACATTTCCCTGGGCCCTCAGAATGTCTTCTGTGACATACCACTGACCATCAGACTTCAGGATGTGAGAGAAGAGATTTATGGCATCCAGATCTATACATTGGATGAACACCTGGAGATTGATGCCGCTATGTTGACCTCCATTGCAGACACCCCTCTCTGCCTAGAGTGTAAACCTCTGCAGTATAAGGTGGTTCGAGACCCTCCTCTCCAGGCGGATATGGTTTCCCTTCTGTACCTCAATAGAAGATTCATGGACACGTGAGTACCCTTTCTGGGTTGGGAGCTAAATGAGTGGCCTCTAGATAAATGTGCAGATGGTCAGAAAAGTGCATGGAAGATGGTTCATCAGTCAGACTCATTTCTAGGGATCAGTGTTGTGTAGAACTGTATTAATAAGGCAGAATTGATAGAATGGGAAGGGTAAAGGGGGAAGAAACAGGCTTGAACTTGGTAACACTCTGATGTGTGACCCTGAGCCTCCGTAGTGTAATCTTCCCAACAGCAGAAGCAGGAGTTTGCATGTGAATAACAATGAGAAAGTCACTTATTACTAATGAAAGTGGAAGAACACAAGTTTGCTAGTGATTTCTCTTTTATATTAAACTGAAGCAGATCTGTGCTTTCGGATGCTTTTCTAATGGATAGAAAGGGGGTGAAGTGACAACAGATTGGCTAGATATTGGAAAGTGCATGAAAATTTTCCTGGATGCTGAACCTCAACAGGCATGGTTTTTGTTTTTGTCCTATTTCCTCAAGTGGAAGGTAAGCCCAAATTCCTCAGGTTCTTAAGTCTCTTTACAGCTGTTAGGCTCCATAATTTTGGGGGTAAGTGCTCACTGCTTTTATGTGAGGCAGTGCTTGACTTTAGTATTCATTTAACCATCTCTCCATCACTTCTTCCAAAACATGTTCAAGATTTATATTTTATGAGGGTGATCACCTTATGATAAAGTCATTAGTGATTTTCTTGCATACTAGACAATGCACTAAGCTACCATCTTTGTTTCTCTTATTAATTTCATCCTCTCTACAGCCAAACTTTATCATCATTTTACAGAGAAGGGAACTGTAGCTTAGAGATGTGAAGTCACTTGTTTAAGGTCACATAGTTAAGAAGTGGTGAGATCAGGATTAGAATTCCATTTTAACTCATAAGCCAGAATATTTAACTTGTGTTGAACCAAAGATATGATTCCAGCTTCTGCTGTACTTTAGAAAAAGTGATAAAGATTTAGCTGCCTAATTTGGGTACTAAAACTAGGTAATTTATCACTAAACTTTTGTGAATATCTGTTGTGTGCAAGGGACGCTGTTGGGGAACTTTTTGGATATTGGAAAGAATAATAATAGATCAGGAATCAAATGGTTTATGTCTAGTGCCAGTCAGTCTGCTTACTAATGTTTGATAAATCCATTTCTTGGAGTCTTAATTTCTCCTCTGTATGATGATAATATTGAAGCCTGGGGTTTCTATGAGCCTTTTGTGGCTCTTTATTTGGTACTAAGATGATATAAGACACAATCTCTGCTCTGTCTACTTGAAAATATTTACTAAGCCAATCATTAATGGAAACCAAGTTCTGGAAGGAAACTTTTAATCTTTTTAAGAGACAGAACCACTTTCAAACACTTTACCAGCACTTCCTCTTACATGCCAGAAATTAATGTGCACATCTCAAGCAAACCTTGCCCATGCATTGACTCGGAGATGAAGAACATCTGTTTAAGAACTCAGAAGGAGCACTTGGTTTGTGTTTGAGAATGTACTTAAAATTTAAAGGATTCTCTTGCCTTGAAAATATTCCATAATTCTGTCTCTTCCATCTCCTCACTTGTCTGGATTGGTAAAGTTCTATAAATATGCATCCACTTAAAATTTCTTTGTAAAACAATGGAGGAAAGAAATAATAAATGTCTTAAAAACCTCACTTTGAACACAGCTTTCATTTTTTTGCCTTGATTTATGAGCCAGTGAGAGCTGACACGGGTTGATAAGTGTGGAATGGTAGAAATTAAACAGATGTAAAAGCACCCAGAGTCCTAGTCTCAGCTAAGTCATTAACTTGCTGTACGATCTTAGGTGAGTCACTTACTCTTTCTGGTCTTTAAATAACTCAGTTTGACAACAAGGAGGTTTGCACCAGGGCAGGGATTCTCAAACTCAGTTGCCCATTTCAAAATTGCCTCAGTCTCACCTGCATCCTATCTCCACCTTCTGTCCCATCTTTTCTCCTCTGGGGAGGTGTTACTTTAATTAAGAATAAGACCCCAATCATCAGGACTTACAAAACTCTCACTAAAATGATTATAGTGAGCAATCAAGTTTCAGATCCACTGCATTTAGTTCTCAAACTGTGGCTCCAGACCAGCAGCATCACTTGAGAATTTAGAAAGGTCAGGTTCTCAAGCCCCAGCCGAGCCTACTGAATCAGAAATTCTGTGTGTAGGGCCTCTCCAGGTAATCCCGGTGTCCATTAAAGTTTAATAGCTCCTGCTCTACATGATCTCTAAGCTTCAGGAATATCCAAGGTCTCATTCTCTACCGATTCAATTTAAAAGTATGTTCTGAATGGTTAAAAGTATGTTCTAAAGTATAGTGTCAATACGTCAAGAACATTCTAAATGCCAGACTTTATACTGGGAACCAGAACTTACAAGGCAACATAGCGTGGCTCCTGTCCTGAAGGCACTGTGCATGTATGCTCAGGACATTACCTCCTTGGAAAAACGCACCAGTTCCTAGTTAATTTGCTTACAAAATCACACCTATTCAAGTCCCTTCTATTATGCATCATTTGGTCTGTTATTCACTCACCAAGTAATTTTTTTGGAATCCCCAGAACGTGACAGTCCCAAGAGACAAACTGAAGCATTCCTTGCCCTTCTTTGACTTTTTTTGAGACCCCCAAATTTTATTTGAGATCAGAATCAAGCAGGATTGGGCTTCCTAAAATGAGTATTCTCTCTGAATCTCTGAAGAAAAAAAGGAAAACACATCACTTCAAGTCAACCTATCATCTCAGTTTCTTTATCTCCTGGTAGTTTGAGTTATGGATCCCACCACAAATACCTGTGTGTGTGTGTGTGTGTGTGTGTGTGTGTGTGTGTGTGTGTGTGTATTTTGCTGGTTCCACATTTTTTCCATATCAAATAAATTGGCTTCTATACAAGTTCTATATAAAGACTGTTTTGGAGAAATTTTCTTTTTCTTCTCTGACTCAACCCATTACATGATTCCCTTTGACCTTTGTCTTCATTTTTTTCTCTCAACAAAAATATTTATTCTTTCTGTTATCTACACCAAAGATAGTTTTCCAAGGTATGACACTGATGAAGGGAGAACTTTCTGTGCTTACCCCATGGAAGCTTCTAGTAAACTGATTACTTTTGGCCAAGGCAAGGAAGAAATGTGGAATGTTTCCATCTCCCTTAAGTCAAAATCTTTTCATTGAACCAGAACAAACACCATCACTAAAGAAATGGGCCAGAGCCAGCTCTGCTACTAACTCACCATGTGATGTCAAGATGTACTGAATCACCTGTTTGGGCCTCCATTTCCATATCTTTAAAATGAGAGGGCAGCACATTAAGCTGTTCTCTGTGGATACACAAAGAAATGATGTTCTATGTGATTGGTGACTGTACACCTTTTGGAGTAAAAGGGATTCACCTGGAATTTTCTAAGAGAATTAGGACCCAGGAGACATTCACTGGTTCCTGAAGCTTATTGAAATATGTAGTCTTGTGAGTGGACAATAACAATAAATATGACAGCAATTTCCTAAGTGCCTACCCTGCTGTAAATGCCTTATGTGGCAGATGAAAAAGTTGAAGCTCAAAATGATTTATTCAAGAACCTCGTATAACTAGTAATGGCATAGCCAGATTTATAATTCCACATTTCACCTTCCTGACCACTACACAATACTACTTCCTACTGACAAAAAAGTGAAGGAAGAATTTTAAAGTAGAGAAATGCATCCAATCTGACCAAAGTTCTAGACAGAGCAAGTAGAAAACAAAGCAAGTTAGAAATCACGAAGCTCAAGTCAGCCTCTGAGAACCATCTTTGGGGTTCAGGAACACAAGTTACACAGCAGCTGTTTTTGCCCCTGGCTGGGAAAAAAAATCAGAAAAACTTCTGTTTCCCAACTTTATTGTCAAAGAGCTTTGAATACAATATACCTTGGACTGCATGGAGTTTTTCACAGTTTTCCAAGAAGTGAAGATGCTGGACAAAACTAAGGTGTAGATAGAAAAACAGACAGGAAAGTAATAGGAGAAGATAAAGTACAAATGAAGCCAGAACAGTGAACAGCAATTTACACCATTATTCATGTCTCTCCCATGCATGCATCAATTCGTACAATCAATTTATTGGATACCGTGCACTGTGTGAAGACATGGTGATCCGGTGGTACCAATATCTCATGCTGCTTACTGTGTATGGGAAGAAATTGATGGGCTAACACTGTAATTGTAGTAAATTAAGCTTTGAGGGAAAACAGAGTCTTCTGACTCAGACTTGGGAGAATTCTGGTCTAAGCTTAGAACTACAGTATAAACTCACTGAGAACTGGATTTCCAACTCATGTGCTGATGCATTCCAAGTGCCTGGAATGGTTTGAGACATACAGTAGGTACTAAGCAAATATTTTTAATTGATCTGGAATAGAGGATGGAAAGCAGTTTAACCTTTAAAGAGAAACAGAGAAACTAAAATAGATCAAGTATGTGTCACACAGTTACTTAGGACTCTACATAGTTAATCTCATTTAATTTAATCATTGTAATAATCTTATGAGGTAGGTGGATTTTTTTTTGCTGGATTACAGATGAGGACCTGGAACTCAGAAAGGTTGGCAAAATTTACACGTCTATCAAGCAACAAAGGTAGGGTCTGTACATACATCTATGAACTCCAAACCTGGTGGTCTTAATTGTCTGTTCTGTGATTAAACAAATGTGCTTCTATTGCATACTTTTCTGGTGTCTCTGTCTTCTTGGTCTCCTTTATTAAAAGCTAAAAAGATTATTAGAAGGCATTTCCCTTAACTGATTAATTTGTGTGTCCTGATGTGTTATTTAATCTGTTAGTCATCTGACATTCTGATGTATGAAGATGCAAGGCACAATGTCTATTTTACCTCATTTTCTTGGCATTGTAAATGTAATTTGGAGGGAAATGAGTCAGTGTAAGGAAAAGATCCTTTCATGTGATTTAAATGAGTGTTCTTGTGTCTGTGAGACCAAATTTC